GTGTGTGTGTGTGTGTGTGTGTGTGTGTGTGTGTGTGTGTGTGTGTGCTTGCGCGCGCATGACTGTGTGTGTTAACTGTGAACGTGCTATTGACTGCTATGTAGTGATTACCATTCCGGTCGGATGGCACCAGCAAGCCGCTGTAATTAATAACCCCATAATCCGGGTTGGGGTGGATGTCGACGAAGAACACACACAGATTCAGGACAGAGTTGTACAGAAACAAGGCGTATCCTTATGGGTAGCTCTATATAAGAAATTATAGCTGCTATTATCCCTCCCAGACAATGATAACTATCTGCTTCCAAAGAAGATTAAAGGTTTATGCAAGTTCAGAATTCTTGGAAACCGGGATCGCATTATCAAAACTACACTGAGATTGATGAGATTTCATCTCGCCGTCAATAATACATTAGGATTTATATTCAAATAAAGTGCGTGAAAAAATAATTCAACCTCTGCAGTTGTTTTGCAAACGATTAACAAAACAGATGCTGGTACAAAATCGGTTGAAATGCGATTACGGTTGTCCCGTACACACTTTTATGTATTGATTCATGGAATTTCAATTTTGACTCCCTTGTTTTGTTTTAATCCGTATTATTTACAAGAAACATCAGGTTGCATCAAAATTATCAAATGGATTTTCTGAAGGTGCAGTCTGTCCGGATGATCGTTTTGTTTTGTAGCGGATTAAGAGAAAAGTATTTAAAATAACTAAATCATTTGTTGACTTAAGCTTTTCTTCGAGCGATCTGTTTATTTACTCAGTATCACCATTGTTATTGTTATTAATACAACTATTATTTTTCATTATTATCGTTATTGTAGTTGTTAATAATAACAATAATAATTATAAAATAATGTTGCTTTATATATATGTATATGTATGTTTTACTCTTTCTTACTGAAGTCAGAGTGTTGTTTCCCCAGAATATACATCTTCCCAGCCCAATCCACTAAATTGTTTATTACTTGTCATTGTTGGTACTTTACACTTAGTCTTCATTAACAGTGTAATGTGCCTATCATCAGCTCTCTCTTTGATGTCAAGTGGCTACATGCGACCCGTTTGATGTCTCAAATTAAAGACTGAATTGACTCCGATTCGCCTGCCACCAAGAGCCCATAACACCTCCAAACCGGTGTAAGAAAACACAGTTTGCACCCAGTGACATAGCGATAAATAAAAAGGTGTGTATAGCCTGTGATCCGGGGTCATTAGCTACAAGGCATGACCACCGTCAGATACAAACATTCATTATTTTCATATTTTTTCCTTGTGATTTAAGTGTGTTTGACACTGTCCACTGACATTTTTTTAATCGAAAATAATGTAAATTAAAAAATACGTGTGTTAACACGTTCCCATTAATACAAAAGGGAGGAAACTGCCTTCATCGATTTTACTTTTGTAACCTCTTAAGCAAGTCTTAAAGTATCAAAGTGTCTTTTTGTGTTAAAAAGACAAGTAAAGACAAAAAAAAGTTAATCAGTCGTTGACACCAAAATGCTTACTGTTGTGCAAATGGGCAAAATTGAGAATTAATACAAACAATGCGGTGGGACGGACTCGAACAAATAACAAATGAAATAGATTGGCGAGCCATAAAATGAGATTTGAAACCCCATTCAAATAAGAGCTCGCGACGTCAGTGCACTTATCCGAGAAAAGAGAGCAAGGGAGGGGAGAGAGAGAGAGAGAGAGAGAGAGAGAGAGAGAGAGAGAGAGAGAGGCTGTTTGGTGAGCGGTGTGTATGAGAGGGGTGAGATTTGAGAAATAGGAGGGGCTTCTAAACGACTAGAAATGTCAATCTGAGCAAAGGAGTCCCAATAATCTAAAGCAATCTGTAAGGACCTGACCTTAGTCCATCCAGATCAATAGGGAAGTGAGGGTGGAAAGAAGAAGAGGAAGAAATAAGGGGCGCAACCGGATCGTTTACACTGGCTGTTACCGAGGAAATATAGACTTCCCTTGCTTGCACCTTTTGTTGCTCACATGCTCACACTGTAAAAGTGGATATCGAGGCAATTCCCTTGCTTTGTGTGATTGCAGCAGACTTTTTCCCCTTTTCCTACCGCCATGTCTTTCCCTCAGCTGGGATATCAGTACATCCGACCGATATACCCGCCGGAGCGCCAGGGGATCGCCAGCAATGCCCGGGCCGGGACAGAGCTCAGTCCGTCCGGCGCACTCTCCAACGTCCTCTCCACTATGTATGGATCTCCTTTCGCCGCAGCAGCGCAGGGCTACGGAGCGTTTCTGCCCTACTCAAACGATATATCAATTTTCAATCAATTGGTAAGTCACTCTGGTCTCTCTTAAGTCATCCATAACTTTTTACCTCACACTTGAAATGGAGAGAAATAAACAAGTGTCCAGGAGAGGTTTATTGGCACTTTTTGAGCGTAAACTTTTTGAGCGCCGTGGTCTGGGTTACTTTGTGGCTGAATCTTTCGTGAAATTGAGTTAAAAGTGGTTAAAAAGTAACACATTAACAAACTGCGCTCCGGGCTTATTGTTACATCATTTCCTGAAAGTGATAGCAAAAGAGTTAATAAAATGCTGCAACGTGCTGTGAAGGTTTACATAGGTGGGGAATAAGTGCATACAAGTAAAGTCTTGTCCGCCTAAGTGTTTCGCTATAAATATAAAGTACATTTCAAATAATTCATTTTTTTCATTCAGTTGCTAAGTTTGTGGTACAAATAACGTTTTGAGTTGAACAAAAATACTTTTATTTTGTTTTGGGTTGTGTTTGTTTACACTTCAATAATAACCTCCATGTTGTTTTATTCCCGTAAATCCCCTTGTAATAATATGTGGCTTGATTCAATTGATCATAAAGAATAATTCCAGACAAAGTATCCTATGGCATTAATATTTTAAGTCTCATAAATCCCTCTGACTCTGTGATTCTTTGTCTTTGCAGGGTGCTCAGTATGAACTCAAAGACAGCCCCGGTGTCCAGCACCCAGGGTTCGCCCACCATCACCCTGCTTTTTATCCATATGGCCAATATCAGTTCGGTGACCCATCCAGACCCAAAAACGCCACCAGGGAGAGCACCAGCACCCTGAAGGCCTGGCTCAGCGAGCACCGCAAGAACCCCTACCCAACCAAGGGCGAGAAGATCATGCTGGCCATCATCACTAAAATGACCCTCACCCAGGTGTCCACCTGGTTCGCCAACGCCAGGAGGAGGCTAAAGAAGGAGAACAAGATGACCTGGGCCCCTCGGAACCGCACCGACGAAGAGGGAAATGTTTACGGCAGCGATCACGAGGGGGAGGAGGGGGACAAGAGGGAGGACGAGGAGGAGATCGACTTGGAGAACATCGACACGGAAAATATTGAGAACAAGGACGACTTGGACGACCAGGACGACCTGCATTCAGATATTAAACTTGACGGGAGGAGTGACTCTGAGATTTCGGACGGCTATGAGGATTTACAAGGGCCCGACCAGAGGTTTCTAAAAGCTGTGGGGAAAGAGGGGAAAGACGTGGAGAGGGGAGGAGAGCACTTCCACAGCCACCCTCACCACCACCATCACCACTCTTCTTTGGACAGCAAAGCGTCCCAAGCAAACGGGGAACCGCTCAAACTGAATACGGTGTCCGTTAGCTCGCCGCCCTCAGAGAACAACCCTGCCCCGGCCCAAAAGCCAAAGATCTGGTCTTTGGCAGAGACAGCCACGGCCCCTGACAATCCGCGCAAATCGCCACACATGAACGGCAGCAACTCCGCAGGTCCGGCCGCCCAGACCATAATCGCCCCACATAGACTCATCTCTTCTTGTCCCGTTGGGAAAATGCAGAACTGGACAAACCGAGCCTTCTCGGCGCATCAGCTGGCTTTACTGAACTCAAATCATTATCTGGGACTGGCAAACCAGGCCACTGCCACCGGCCTGGCCCTCTACAGCAGCAGGCACACGGAGGACAAGAGTCATAGTTCAGAGACGTCAGTCACAGGTACATGTCCCCGACACTGAGACGCGCATGTATAGATAACTACAAAAACAAAGACACTAGTCCATTGCCCGTCATTCATTTCTATTATTTTAGACCTCCTTTTGCCTTCTTTGCCTGTTCATGGATTTTGTTTCTCTCTTTCTCTAGGCCACACAGATGAACAGTGTTACAATATAATAGCTTACAGAATACAGTGTGTTTGATGTATGCCTGTGTGCGTGTGTGCGCGTGGTGTGAAACAGCTTTGAAAAATGTCCGAGAGAATTATGAAAACATCATCAGAAAGCATTTAAGAAAAAAAAGTCAAATGTTGAATTGGGTGAAAAGTGTTCTTAATATTCGTGTCCGTTTCCTCCTTGATTTGGTATTGCTACATCCATGGGATATTGAGCCCACGTGCTTGTATTCAATGGTTTACATAAAGCCCTCGTCCTATTAAGCCAACTAGTTTTCAACACTAAATTCACTGAAACCTGGGATGGGCTCTGAGAATAGGCAGTTCCATGAATGCATTTTAATTTTCATTGCCACAATTTCAGAGAGATCTAGTGCCTTGGATGCAGAGAAAAAAAAGTTGTTAAAAACAGCTTTCACCCAGTTCAAAGATAGCGAGGCTGACAATTGATGACATTTGGGAATTTTCTTTTTTGATGCCATATCACATTTTCTTTTTTAAACGCAATATTTACCCAAATTAGCTTTTATTCTAAGATGCTTTTTTTTTTTTTATCCCTGTGTTTGTGCGCATGTGTTTTTTCGTCAAGGCCTATGTTACACTTACTTGTTTGGTCATGCAAATGAGCTCAATGCAAATTCACTACAAGCTCGTTTTTGAAAGGCAATTGTCACTTTTATATTATTTTGTTTTTTTTCCCGAGGCTATTATTAGTAGGATTTCTTTTTAGATCAATCCAATTTTTTTTTCTGTTACCCCTGTGTATTTCAGGCCTCAGAACCAACTAAGCAGCGGTGGTTCTTTCGGCTCTCTCCTCTCCATAACCTCACACCAATCCTCTTTATTCTTTTTTTTTATTTGAATATGGAATGTAAAATAAGAATAATACATCTCTGTATACTTACATTGTAAGCATGTCCTGTGTAAAACTGCTAATGTAATAATGTATGAACCTGTAGTCTGTGAGTTTTTCTTTTCCTTTTTGTAAGTTCTGTGAGGATTTGATGTTCAAATGTTTTGTATATAAAGTTAAGAATATGTACATACTTGTGAACCAAATTGTACAAGAAAGTCTATATTTTGGCTAATAAATGAACTGCTGCAACTTTAAGAAATTGCTGGTTTTTGGCCGAGGTATTTTGACAGCTGCTTTTGATGGTGGCTGTTATTGTGCACTGCAGCTTGAATTGCATTGCTTTGGTATGTATTTGTATGTGTGTTAGTGGACAGCCTAAGGCACAGACTTCATCCGCCGTGGCAGTGATAAGTAAATATTCGAGAGGGATTCATCACACTTTTGTAGTGGAGGGACTTAAGGCTAATTAGCTAGTGTTGCGGCATATATTTGGATATTAATGTTGTGGGATTATCCTTACAGAGACGTAAAATGAATAATTCTTTCATTAATTTTCGTCTGAAATTGTATGGTTTATAAAGAGATTTTAGGTAATGAATCACTGTTGTATGATCGCTGCTATTCGGTAAAAGCGGTTCAGCTGATCCGAAGGATCGATCTTGGCTTCGCACAGCAACTCCCAGATCTCATCATGCTCAATTTGCAATGCTTTTGCTCTTCACATATATCATACAAATGTTCCTCCACCAACGCTGCTCTTTGGAATAATTGTAATATATGGTAGCTGTAGAACTAATAATAACATCATTTATTTTGTTTGCCCGTGACGTGATCATTTGCATGTGTGTGAGACCTTATCAGAGGAAGTTTATGTAAACTTAGTGTTGGAGCTCCCTCTACAGTCACATGCAGTCGGCCATGTTCTGGTGCACTCACACACCCACACACACACACACACACACACACACACACACACTCAAAGATTGAGCTCATGTAGTGTGAATTTCCTTCGGCGCATTTCTAATTTATTCATCAGGTGTGATATAAAATTCGATAGTACATTTTGCTCTTATTAATCTGTCACAATATCAGACCTTTTTAACGTGTTTTCAAGCCTTCGTGTTGTGATTTTATGATGTACAAACGCAGTGCATATGTCACAATTAATCACTTGTTTTGATGCGTCAAAAAGCAAGCATATATACATATGTTTAAAAGGCAAGAAAAATAAATAATTGATGTTAATTTTAGCCCAAACGATCAAACATATCTTATCAAAAAACAAAGAGGCATTTTTTTAGTTTGGGTCACAACAACAACGGGCAACAATTAGGCATAAACATTATGCAAATATTTACCAAAAAGTACAATAAAGCAAATCTTGTCAAATAGAACAAGTAGATCAAATTCAGCTTTTTTTACAGTCGCCACTAGCTCGAGTATTAAACAATATTGTATGGCTGCCATGCTTAACTTGAGAATGACAGGACTTCTCAATCATCCTTGAAAGAGCATTCAATCGTTTCACTTCATTCCTGCGGTAAGATGAGATAAAAGGTTAAAACAAGAAAACAAAACAAGAGAGAAAAATACCGTCAATATTTCTATTATTCAAATTTTGCCGATATGAAAAAAAATCTCTCCAGTTTTAGATGAGACATTAAAGTCGTATGCAAATTATTGTGTTTTATCCAACTTATTTAATAGCAGAAAATAAATGTTGAAAACGTCCAGAAATGTATTTTGGGAGACAAACTTCGATTTCCTAATTTATCCTCCTTAAAACGAAACGCATCCTTTTCGATGATATTGTCATTATTTATTAATTTATTAATTTCCGATTTATATTGATTTTCATAGTTTAAATGTTAAAGGACTTGGTTTTATGATTGCTTTTATATTTTAAAAACGCAAAAAAAAAACAGAGACAACAGTCTGTCACACATTCCTCAACTGGACTTAGATGGTCAACGAGGACTATATCTTTTAATGTCTGCCATTCAGGGCAGCAAAGGCAGATGAAAAGTGCTCGAGCCGTATCCTCTCTAGGTTTAGGATACGTTTTAAACAAACCCCAAGTCAGCCGAGGGAAAGACTCCGGAGCCTTTTGAGCTCCGCTCACCATGTTGCCTTCCTGTCTAATCAATTATCTTCCTTAAGAGCCCGATCTATCCGCGCGATGCATATTAATAAGAGGCATCAGCCAGCTGATTGATTGTAATAGTGTTTTTTTTTCTTTTTTACATTCTTGCCCACTTCCTTTTGTTAAAGGAAGCTTTGAATGACCAGTACAGTTTATTATTATACAATAAAAAGGAAAATTTGTTATTTTTTATATGGAATTTTACAAGGAAGGAAACAATCGAATCAGAATAAAAAAAATTAAAAAAAACATTATATAAACAGTATATACATATAAAAAAAAAATCAGTTCGATAAGATTCACCATGACTTATGTCATCCTATTAAACACTTTTTAAATATAAGGTGGGCTGTAAGGGTAGCTGCATGTGAGCACACTGAACCTTATAAATAACAATGCTTATTCCCTCACTGTTCACAGGACGTTTTCTCCTGAGGGGCCCAGAACAAGCCACCTCTTGATCATGGGGATTCAATTGAAATGCTACTGAAGGGCCAGTGATCGTGTCTAGAGCTCAGGGCCTCTCCTCTGATCAGTGCATGAAATTAGGGATTAAAATGCCTCGGCAGAAACAAAGTAATCATGGCTGCTTATGTCGCCATACGTGTCCAACCTGCTCCCGGTTACAAAGAGCAAATGGAATGCATTAGCTAACATTTTGCTCTGAGCTACACACGGACCATTTCCAGTGGGGCACGGCGTGTCACTCGTTTCCTCGCACGTTAAGTGGATGTTCTCCTGGCTAATGAGCAATAATCAACATTGACTCCTCTTCTTATTTTCTGAGGTCCAGGCTGCGTTGAATGCTCAGAGTCTGTGGGGCACACCTGTACTCAACTGCCTCAAAAGCACAGGGTAATCTATTCCACATGAGATGGGAAGATATTAAAGAAGATGGAATTAAACATATTAGGAGCTGGAGGCTTAATAGCTAAAATAATCAAAATGTGATGATATGGATTTTCAGATTCAGATATCCCACCTTATAAAGCATATAGCTCCCAATTATACTCACTGTCTTGTAATTATTTATAAAGATGATTCTGTAGCATGACGAGTGTGGGAACGCTTTTGACATAGTTGAAATAAATTACACTTCATTTCTAATCACATTATGTTGCCATGAATGCTGTTGACTGCTGCTCCCTTTGCCCTCAATAGTCTGAGACAGGTCTACATACAGCTACATGGGGGGGGGGGAGCAATGCGCTGTTAAACAGCCATTTAGAAGGGGAAAAATCGGAGAAAGATGGAATCATTAAAAGGAAATCTAATCTGTCTTTCGAAGTGTTCATTGATCTGGGAGAAGGTGGACGGCAGCACCAGGCGGCTGAAAGGGTCTGGCCAATGGAGCCATCAGAGGCTCATGTGTGAATGGGGAGAAGCCATGGAGTAAATAAACACTAGAGCAGCCCATTGGAGAGGGCCAGAGGTGCCCTGTGAAAGAGGAGGCCGCTGCAAATAAAGGGGGTCAGTCTTGTGTTTTCACCCCATCCACCCCTTCTGTCATTGTAGCCCCACCACCAGTGCCACCTCCTCCTCCTGCTACCCCCAGGCAGGCCCGTTCTGCCACACCCCCTCCTGCCACCGAGACAGACAAATGTCACCTCCTTTGTGGACCTAGTCAGGCTTAGAAGCGGCCCACTGTCTTTGTGCGGTGGACTAATCCTTTTATGAGCCACTGTCGACTGCGCCCCCACCCAGCGCTTGCCCGGGCCAAGAGAGGGGCTGCCCTTTTGCAAGCACTCGGCCTGTGTGTTAGCTGACCGCAGGAGGAGCGGGGATCTGCTCTCTGGAACACATGTCCCACACACCACATACCTTTATACACAGGCTTACAGGGCCGCAGCACTCCACGGCAACTTGTTACAGCGGTCGCACTCCAGAGCTGAAAGAAGAGGAGGAGGAAAGCTCAATTTTACTCCTGCCGAAGATATGCGACTTCCGTGTCTCCTGCATGTTTTATGGCGCATTCATTATTGAGAATGGAAGTGAAAGTGCAGTGGCAACACGTTAAAGAATAGCCAGGCAGAGAGGGGTTGTTGTGTTTCCCTGGGCTGAGCAAAGGACAAAAGGCCCAGAAGGAGTGACATTCTCTGGGGCCGAAGCGGGAGAGAGGGAGGGCACTGATTTCATGCCTTTTGTTGATGGAGGTTAGAGAGAGAGGAATTCTTTCACTGAATCCAAAAGGCAACAAGTGGGGAAGGGGGCGACAGGCCGACAGGCCAGAGGGAGAGGCATTGGGGCTTTTGCCGTTCACCCAGCTGAAAGATTGTGCTTTTCTCAGCCCCCTTCAGATCCTTCAGACAGGCCAGAGTTACAGGGCAATTATGGAAATGCAGCTTTGAAGCAAAGCATAGCCGTCTTTCAGCTCTTCCTCAGGACAAAGCAAAGGCAATAAGGGCTTTTTATGCACCCTCCTCTATAAAACATGTTTCAGCTCCAGTATGTGTATGTTCTTGACTTTTCTGCTCTAACTCACACAGTATTGTAGTCAGTGTTGACATTTGTGAATATGGCTTTAAAATAAGTGTAAAATAAAATTAGAGACACTTCTTTTTTTTTTCTTTATAAAGAAATACTATCGGAACATTTTTCACGTTTCTGGTGAAAAGCTGCAATCCCTTATCTCTTTACAATGTCAATCTGCCTGTAAAGCATTTACCGAGGAGATGAGCACAGAGATGGGTTTGTAAAAAAAACGCCTGGCTTCATAGCTGCTTCCAACAGCTGCACACTTTTACCAGCCTGATGTCGCCTCTCCGCACCCTCTCCGCTCACACGTCAGTAACAGAGGCCCAGCAAACCATCAGCCCTGCGCCTTCTCAGCTTTGTACATTAGTCAGCGGTGTAGCACAGAATTTCGCCACCTCATGTGAACTAATAAGTCACATTTTCTCCGGCTTTTGAGAGGATCGCAAGAGAGTGATGTCTCTACATCACCCGACACAGCAGAGGCCTTGTACAACAGTGCCTTTACACTCCGAGCATATCTGACAAATGCCAATACTCCGGCGTTCACTCATCACTGTTAATGAGAGGACATATTTTGGACGTTTCCAATATTTGTACAGACTTCATACATTATGAGGGCTCTTTTATTCACAGTACCAGGCAGAGAGGACAAGGGTGGGGTAGGGTGGGGGTGTATTCATGACTCCTCGGTATTGGCTGACTGGTGAAGGGAACTTAATAAATTCTTCCTCCTTGGAACACTGTCAAACAAGTCCTTTCTTACATCTCCCATGAATACATTACCAGCGAGTTTGATTGATTAGAGACCCTCACAAGAGGGTGAACCGATGAACCGACTCCCCCGGTGTGATTAATAGACTTTATTAAGAGAGTCCTCTCCTTTTTAATGATGGTAATGTAAAGGAAGGCGTTGTGGGGGTTGGGAGGGTGCGCAGGAAGTCTAACGATGATCACTGGCGCTGTCCCTCTCTTTGATCCACATCCCCTTTAGTTTGAGTTCATTTTCTCAACCTCCAACTGGCAATATACATCACCCTCCTATCAGTGCCACAGATATGAGGTTCCTTTCATATACTGTTTTCACTTTGGTGCCTGCATACTGCCAATATGAAACTCTTTAAAAAGTCTCTCCGGGGTAATGTGAGAGGCAGGATTGATTTGGATTCCAACTCACAGTTTACAGCTAAATGGAATTGGCTCAGTATCCATGAAACATCTTTAATAGACCTCAGATCAGAAACTAAGTAATGACTGTATAACTCGGCACCTGATGCCTGTATTGTGGTAGAGCAGTGTATGTGACAGTATGCATGTGTCTCTCTACTGGATGGCATTTATAATGTTCAAAGGAAATTTAAAAAATGTCTTATTTTTCTCCATTTCTCCATCTTACATAATCATTCTAAAGTCTAGGGGTAGTGTGACCCTTGACCTCCTTACGCTTGGTTGCTTGTAAAGTTATTGATTTAGGAATTGGGTGACTCTCTGTTTTGTACAAATTTTAAGTTATTGTGAATAGGACATTTAAAAATGAATGTATATCATATATACAAAAATATCCAATAAGTACACTTTTCTGTGTGCATGTGTGTTTGTAAGTCAAAGCTTCTATGTAGTAGGTGTGTGTATCCAAACAGCTTGCTGGCTAATCATTGTTCTTGAGAGCTAGCGTGGTGTTAGGCAGGGGGTAAACCATGTACAGGAAATTGTTTATCCACCCAGAGCTGAGCCTGCTTATCAGCACAACACAGGAACAACAGCGAATTCACTAGCACTGGACACAGCAGCGCCAACTTATCATCATGCAGTATTTTGCAATACACCACCACAAGTGATTTATTCAAACACGGATACCACAGATAGGGCTATTCACGTCCCGGCGCATTACTGCATGACCCAGACAGGTCCTGTTTGCTTTCCTGCAACAAACCAGACTTGCGCACACAACCATATATGACATCACGAGACAAGCCAA